GCAGTTTTAAGTCATTTTCTCGCTGTTAAGCCCATCTTTAATATCATATTTTCTATTCCTTGAAATTCCACGCAATCTTATTAATGGTAATGTTTCGAACACAAATTACTATGTCAGTCTATTGTTTGCCAGAACTATGTCCAAATAGTAAAATAAACAAACTGGTTGTGTGAGACTCAAATTCAATAAAACCAAAGCGTAAAAAAATATTAAAAATGATAATAACATGTGAACTGATAGTCCCAAAATAGTATTTAATACAAATAAGGGTCAAAATGATCTCCTAATGACTCTAAAGCTAGAGCCCACTATCCAGCCTTCTGAAATCATTTTACAGACTTGAACAAATTCAGACAATCCATCTTTAAAAATCCGGATTTACTTTGTAAAATGAAAGTTAAAGAGATAAACAGATATCCCATAGAGAGATTCAATTATAACCAGAAAAGTCTGTAATTAAAACACTGTTAGTGGTTCATATCAATTAGTTTTAACAATAACATAAAACTTGTCAGTTATCTTACAATAAAAACAGAAAACATCAAATTCTAATTAGTTCTTTGGAGGTTTTTTACCACTCTGAAGTAATATTAATGTCAACAGTAAGGAAAGAAAACAACTACTATCATCCTATATATAGGATAAACCCAAATTTGTCATACAAAGCTATAATTATCATGACATTACAAAACAGCCATATGGCATGTTTTCTCTTCTTCTTAACTCTATTAATTTATCCACTATTTCATAAGTTTTATTTATGTGATCACCTGATATTCAGTTTACAGTGCACATTTCCACAACTTTTAGTCCTCAACTACAAAATAAAAAGTGGTCTATAAAAAATTATATTTCAAAAAACTGAACTGAAGGATCAAAATAGAAAATCTAAAATATCAAAATGTTATCTAAATCACTTCTATAACATTATCAATCTTCCTGCCAAAAATCTGTTAAAATATCTAGGGCAGCCATAAATATACAACACATAAAAACTAGAAGATAAATTTATAAATCTAAATTAAATTTAACAGGCATTAGTTTGAAACAATATCAAAATTGAGATAACATTTTGTGATAAAACAGTAAACACCATCATCACTTTTAAATCACAACATCTACATGCTCTGCAGGTGAAAATAAGTTAAAAGGCCATGCTTCCCCATTTCCAAGTTTGATTTGAGTCTTGAATATGTATTGTCGTCAGAAGTACTAGAACTGCACAAAAATAGCATTATACCTTCAAGAATATCTCAAACTGCACTGAAGGTTCAAATTCAGTAAAACTGATGGATATCCTGTCCCTTTAATACAATTTAAACTCTTTGTGGGAACATTTGAAATTGTTCCATGTCAACAGGATGGTGTTAAAGACATAGAACAATCAGACAATAACTGCAAGACAAGTAACAGGGAAGAAAGTGAATAATACAAATATCATAAAGTGAACATAAAACATTTACTACAATATTGGAAATAATCAGCTGGTTATCCAAACTATAAAACAAATCTGTCCCTTCAGTTTAAGCTGGTGTCTGACTGACACTAAAAATATTAAAGAGATTCAAAAGTGGTTTGCTATATTTTATATGGGTATTTGATTATTATTTTGTATCTTATTTACACACCTGAGAGAGATCATAAAGATTTAATAAAGATCATATGAATAAATGATCTACTGAAAGAGTAGGGTGATCAGTTTGGCAGACAAAATAACTTTAATAACATTTTCAATGAGAAACAGCCTAGCTGATATTTTGTAACCCACTGAGATCTGAAAAAACAAAGTGACATAAGCACAACAAATATTACTTTCAAGAATTTCAAGAATCTTACCCTTTCCACAGGCCATCTTTGAAAGCAAAGTAAAATTAAATATTAAAAAATGATTTATTTGCATTAATTGAAATTTCAATTCTAGGAAAATGATTCTGTAAACATTGTGCTCAGCCCCCAGTACATGTATTTTGTTATCACCTAACTTAGTCTACCAGTACTTGTTACTCTTGTTTATTTATTTTGAAAGTCATTTTGACAGATACTGTTAGAGAATGATACATAATATTTGTCAAGGTAAGCCATCATCAAACATAAAATTCCAAGAGAATTTTGACATTTAGTCTTAAAACTTATTACTTCAAAGACTCAAACACCCTTGTCAATACAAAAGACTGTATGTCAGATGTCCACTTTTATTAGTCACTGCCTTGAAAGTTTGAAGTTCAAAGCGCAAAAAGAAATTATTCTACTCTTCATATCAGACAGAGTTACAAGTTAAAGATAGCTTTCCACATTTTTTTTCAAGTAAATTATTTAATAATTTTGTTTATAATTAATTATTCATGCACAAAATCTAAATGTATGCTCCAGCAATAAACCATCATACCATCATACAAGTTCAAATAATATTGTTAATTTAATTATGTTTTTTATATTAATATCAATAGAGGTACCCGTAATAATCTTTTATTTTATTGACTCCATTGAGATAGTCTGATTTTCAAAAAAAAAAACTCTGCTTTTAGACTACAGGTAAATATAAATATTCAAAATTTATATCAAATTCATCCGTGACTTGCAGGCTACCACTTTAACATAGAAATTAAGTGTAAAATCTTCTTTTGTTTACTTAAAGTAACAATAAATATAAAATACAGCATTCAACTACTCAAACATAGTAGAGCTCCCATAAGTCAAAATAGGATAGGTCGTAACGTTCTGCCATTCTGTGTCAACAGGGTGCAGACAAATTATAAATAAGTACGGTATAAAATTTAAACATCCAACCTAAATTGATCAGAATGCAAATCTTAACAATGAAGAAAATCCATCCTAGTTATTGTTAAACGTGTACCGGTAGATGTTGATTCATGGCATTGAATCTATAATCTTAAAAGCTTGAGTCTAGAATATGTAAATTGTCTTTAGAAATACGGTACTAGAAATGTACGAAAATCGAATAACTTCTATAATATTTAACTTTAATTGTATTTCTATGCCTTTTCTTTAAGCTTGTATGACAAGACGAATCGTCATTTTTCAAAGTTTCAGTTTTTCAACAACAGTACTGGGTATTCTGACAAAAATGTCTAAGTTAAGCTTATCAGAGATGTGTGAGATTTCGGGCTTCCCCAAATGAAGGGATAAGCTAACTCTAGAAAATTTTCAGAATGTGAGAAGGTGCCCAAGAGAAGTGTGGCAATAAGGAAAACTGATATTCTAAAATATTCCTGTGAGAATGGCATTTGACCTCAGCACTATGATGCAGAATATATGATATATAATATAGAATATGGATAAAATAATATAATTGCGATACCAGGTCTGGCTTTAAATACAATAGACCTATATTCTTTTCCCTGTCACAATTCCCTGTCCACCAGTCCTACCTAAAGCCTAAATCTATGCCTAACCCAGGCCTTTTAATGGGCCAGAGTAGGCTATCAACGAATATAGGCTTTAATTGATATATCTGTCATTTGTTGAACTGTCAATGTCACAATACTGCTGATTGATGTATAACATTAACAATATAAGTTTCACAACAATTGAAGACATCCTAAGTTTCATGAAATTGAGACATATGGCAAAGACCAAATGTCTGATAACAATAACTCACGATCAGCCTTAAGGACCTAATGATATCAGAAAGCTTTCAAGACTGACTTACCTAGCTTTTCGTGCAGCTTTTTAGATCATCTTGAAACTTAAATCCTACCATTTTCCTTGACCAATAATAACTTCCTCAAAAGAAAATTAAATGAAGACAGGTAACTCCAATTAATACATCATCATAAGCATCAGACCACTTTTATTTTGGTCATCGTTTATTTTGGTGGCTCTTTGGTCAAAGGGGAATAATCATGTATCATTTGTTGTCTGAGTCTAAAATTTGCTCTTTAATGTAGAAAACCATTTTTAATCCTAACCGGAAATAACATGTGGGGTTTGTAAACAAACGAGGCCTACTTTTTACGACTGATGAAATGAATTGTCAATAAATGTATCATTTGTAAGTAAAGTAAGGTAGTTTATAATATAATTATATATTTGCATGGTCTCTTGGTAAATTGGTCATCAATTTGGTCTCAGGTCAATTGGTCACAACTTCACAAGATAAATTGGGCATGGTAATGACAATGTAAAAAAATATGAAATGGTCAAAAAATAAATTGAACACAGCAAGGCAAAATTGTTCACAAAATGGGCACATATTAACCCCCATTTCATAACTAGCTGCTCTGATAAGGATTTTGTGTCTGAAACACTTGTTTCAGCATATTATTAATAAATGGGGCGTGCTAATAAATGTGCAGGCGATCTGAGGCCAGGCCATATTTTAATTCTTATGCGAATAATTCCTGTAAGCAGGCATATTTCATGCATGACATTATAATTCCAAAGCTGTTGGTGAATAAAAGATATCTATCATATTTTGTTTTAGATAGTAAATTTCTGAACAATAATTAATATGGAAGTCACACAGAAAGCTGAGGAAATGAAGAGTAATGATAAAGAATTAAGTCAAAAGGAAATTAAATATAGACCTGGTACAGCTAAGATTAAACAAGAGTAAGACTTGTAAATTACCATGGTGCTAAAGATCTGGTCCAAAAAGTACTGAAACTGTTCACATCGCTTTATATCTAAATCGTATGACAAATGACAAATTACTAGAGCAGCCCTACATGTACAAACAATACTCTCTCATTAGAGTTTACGCCCACATACCTGTGTCTGTGCTTTCATAACATTACTAAACCGCAATGTTAGCCTACAACCTAATTTCCTACATGTACTCAGGTAATAGACTGTCATTGCCACCTATTTCATTGTGTATTACATAATTTACCTTGTTTTTTATTTTCCATTTTATAATTGTCTGATTTTGATTGACTTATTCCTTATCTAAGGTTAATAAAAATGTTCCACATAGTGGCAATGATCTGTCTGGACAGATGTTACACTAAAATTGTTTTAAAATTATTGTCAACTAATTATTTTCTAGATATCTAGTTCTTGACCACAAACCACAGATAGACAAAGAGTACCTGTCAGAGGCAGTCAAAAATAAAATAGAAAACACAGAAGCTAATGTTGTACCAGACAACTCTCAAAATACCTCCAATGACGGACAGGAACCGCCTGCCAAGAAAATTCGGTTGAAAGGTAGAAACAAACATAGACCAATTGAGAAACGACCTGATGATGCTGATAAACTATGTCCAGCCATACGACAAGAAAGAGAGTGCTCATTCGCAGGAAAATGTAAATTCTCTCATGATCTCAAAGCATTCTTTGAGTCCAAGCCTGCAGATCTTGGATCTTCTTGTTACCTGTATGAAACATTTGGAAAATGTCCTTATGGCTTGACATGTCGTTATGGTGCTAAACATATAGATCAAAATTATAAAAGCATTGTTAATAAAGAACTTTGGGAAAAGAATTCTCATCAGTTAGAAAATTTAAATTATTTATCGAAGGATGTTCAAAAACTGTTATGGAAAAAGAAATATGATTTTAACAAAGCGAACACCATCCACAAGCAAGTTGTAGATATTTTGGAGAAAAGGAAAAAGGTGAAAGAAAGTAAGAGGAATTCAAATTCTAGTAAAAATTCTGAAGACTCTAAAGAAGATGAGACTTCATCAGATATAGTGACAGATGAAGCTGTTCCAACTCTTGGATGTGTTTCTGATGAAGATTTCATCAAACTTAGACCAAAAGAAGTGAAACTGGTATGGACTTATACTTATACTATTATACATATAACATATTAATATACAGAATGATAAAGAAATAATCAAAAACAAAATAGATGAAAGGCAAAATGAATGAATATATGAATGCATGACAATTTTGTAAGCAGTGAGTGCCTATTGATGTGTGAGAGAATTTTCACTAAGTAATGGAAGTAATAGTCTTAATGAAGTTCTGTTTCATGTGTTGATTGTAAAACCTTTTTTTTTTTTTTAACTATTTTCAGATAGATTTTTCTAATAAATTGTATTTGGCACCACTGACAACAGTAAGTAAGGTTTATACCAATACTGTTAAATACCAGTACATGTTCAAATACATTCATTTTACATCCTTCCATCTTTTTTTTACCTCATGATGACCTACAATGTCTTCATTATGTGATACCTTTTGATAACTTCAGTATCCATATTTGGTATGGAAATTTAACACAAATAGGAGTAATGGGAACTATAGAGGTCTGATAAAATTATGCAAATAGCAGCCAAAATTGGCCTGATACACATAAAAAAAAGCTAGCAAACCTCTTTACAACATCTTCAACTGTATGTAGAATATTTTATATGTTAGGTGGGTAATTTACCATTCAGAAGAATCTGTAAAGAATATGGAGTTGATATTACTTGTGGAGAAATGGCATTATCTACCAATCTGTTACAAGGACAACAATCTGAGTGGGCCTTATTACGTCGTCATCCATCTGAGGATATATTTGGAGTACAGGTATGTTTAGCTCTAATATCATTAGTTGATAGAAAGAAATCTTTCCTTTCAACCAGGTGGTCCTTCGTCAAACCTCTTGGCATTGATCTTTCCAGGATAATGAAATTAGTCTATCAATTTACTGCTGGGTCAAGTTTTGTAGTGTCTATCAGTTTCTCGTAAATGCATCAGAGGCTACAGTTTTAAGCAGAACACGCAAGTGTGGGCGTATATTGTGGTTGCCCCTGTCGGTCCGTCTGTCCGTCCATCTGTTTGTCCGTTCACATTTACCTCGTGCTTACTCTACAGGCTACAATTCTCTATAGATTCTGTTGATCTTTTGTATGTGTGTCAATATCATTATGAAAATGTGCACTATTGAATTTGGTGATGATCCAATGATTTTCTTCAGAGATATCACATAAAACTCTGATTTCGCGTTGGTGCGTCCGTTCACATTTACCTTGTGCTCACTCTACAAGCTACAATTCTCTATAGATTCTTTTGATCTTTTGTATGTGTGTTAATATCATTATGAAGATGTGCACTATTGAATTTGGTGAGGATCCGATGATTTTCTTTAGAGATATTGCATAAAACTCTGATATCGTGTTTTGTCATTTTTCATGCTAACCCTACAGGCTACGATATAGAGTTTGGTTTACAGTTCACATTTAGCTCTTTATCAAGGTGCTGGTGGGCATAGTCGCTTGCGAGACTTGCCGCAAGCCTTTGTTGATGAATATCATCAAATACACTACAACTTTTTATATTTTTGTAGATATGTGGGGGATTTCCTGATACTATGACAAGATGTGCTCAGTTATTACAAGAACAGACAACTGTAGATTTTATAGATATTAACTGTGGTTGTCCTATTGATATGATCTATAAAAAGGTAGGATTGTAGATTTTATAGATATTAACTGTGGTTGTCCTATTGATATGATCTATAAAGAAAAAGGACTGTAGATTTTATAGATATTAACTGTGGTTGTCCTATTGATATGATCTATAAAAAGGTAGGATTGTAGACTTTATAGATATTAACTGTGGTTGTCCTATTGATATAATCTATAAAAAGGTAGGATTGCAGATTTTATAGATATTAACTGTGGTTGTCCTATTGATATAATCTATAAAAAGGTAGGATTGTAGACTTTATAGATATTAACTGTGGTTGTCCTATTGATATAATCTGTAAAAAGGTAGGATTGTAGATTTTATAGATATTAACTGTGGTTGTCCTATTGATATGATCTATAAAAAGGTAGGATTGTAGATTTTATAGACATTAACTGTGGTTGTCCTATTGGTATGATCTATAAAAAGGTAGGATTGTAGATTTTATAGATATTAACTGTGGTTGTCCTATTGATATAATCTATAAAAAGGTAAGATTGTAGATTTTATAAATATTAACTGATGTTGTCCTATTGATATGATCTATAAAAAGGTAGGATTGTAGACTTTATAGATATTAACTGTGGTTGTCCTATTGATATGATCTATTAAAAGGTAGGATTGAAGATTTTATAGATATTAACTGTGGTTGTCCTATTGATATAATCTATAAAAAGGTAGGATTGTAGATTTTATAGATATTAACTGTGGTTGTCCTATTGATATGATCTATAAAGAAAAAGGACTGTAGATTTTATAGATATTAACTGTGGTTGTCCTATTGATATGATCTATAAAAAGGTAGGATTGTAGACTTTATAGATATTAACTGTGGTTGTCCTATTGATATGATCTATTAAAAGGTAGGATTGTAGATTTTATAGATATTAACTGTGGTTGTCCTATTGATATGATCTATAAAAAGGTAGGATTGTAGATTTTATAGATATTAACTGTGGTTGTCCTATTGATATAATCTATAAAAAGGTAGGATTGTAGATTTTATAGATATTAACTGTGGTTGTCCTATTGATATGATCTATTAAAAGGATTAAAAGGACTGTAGATTTTATAGATTAACTGTGGTTGATTTACATTTCCCAAAAATTCGGTAGCTATTCAAAATGTTCCAGTTTTGGACTTTAGATTGATCTTCCTAACAACCTAAGTTCCTTGAGATTATAGATAGTTGCCATATGTTCTGAATTTGGGAGAAAAGTGTATATCATTGATATCTAAGGTATTTTTCTTATTTTCAGGGTGAAGGATGTGCACTGATGTCTAGAAATTATAAGTTTGAACAGATTATTAGAAGTATGGTGTCAGTATTAAATATACCATTAACTGTTAAAATGAGAACTGGTGTTTGGTCCTACAAAAATATAGCTCATGAGCTAACACCCAAATTACGAGATTGGGGTGTTTCCATGGTTACGGTAAGTATTGCAGTTTGTTGATATTTTGATGATAAGCCTTAACATCTGGCATAGTTACTTTATGTAACTTAAAGTTATATTTCCTGTTCGGTAGTTTTGCTGGCTTCAAGATCCATTTCCATAAAAAGGTATCTTAAAGGGTTTGCAAAGACTTTAATTTTTATGTGTATTGATGACACCGATATCACCGATTTCTACCGATTTTAAGTTAGCTGTCCCAGGTTGCAATCCCTTTAATGGGTTGTATGTCATTAACACATAGCATAGCATGAGTTCCTATTGGTACTTATTATTTTAGTTACATGGTAGATCTAGAGAACAGCGCTACACACGCCTGGCAGCATGGGATTATATAGAAACATGTTGTAATGGAGCTAAACCAATGCCCTTCTTTGGTAAGTTTTATTATTGGCTATGAACTACTAATTGTACTATTAATTTGCATGTACAGTGCATAGTTTCTTAAAACTTATAGAGTTTGCTAAACTGAAGATGCTGATTATTTTAGAAATTGTTCACTAGAGAGTTCCCAGTCAACATTCTGCCATTAAATTTGTGATTGATTGCTGATGGTGGTAGGTGCTAATATGGAAGACCATACCCCACATGTCAAAGTCTTTTCCTATCAAAATAAGTGGAAACCATAAGTTTATTCACAGCAGAACAGTTATGAATCAAATTTGTTCCTAAATTTCAGTGTCAAAAAGTATTTAAGAATTTATTTATTTTTATATGCAGACATAGTTACCTATGACTGGATGTCTGTCTTTCTATAATGTATGTTACTTTGCTTAACCAGCTGTCTGTCAAAAATATCATTGTGACTGATAATTTTATTACAAGATGTTTGTAAAGTATGTCTGTGATATCTGTATCTCCTGTATTTGTGTAGGAAATGGAGATGTGTTATCATATGAAGATTATAATAACTATAAGAAACGATCAGGAGTAGATGGTATCATGATAGCTAGGGGGGCTTTAATAAAACCCTGGATATTTAAAGAAATCAAAGATGAACAGCACTGGGATATCTCAGCTTCTGAAAGATTGGAAATGTTACAGAGATTCTGTAACTATGGTTTAAGTCATTGGGGTTCTGATCAACAAGGTGTGGATACTGTTAGAAGATTTCTTTTAGAATGGTTATCATTCTTACATAGGTATGTTACCATCAATTTTCTGTACAACTTTATTAATAAACAAGTAGCTTCACTGTTATTAGAAAAGGTTAACAGTATGTCATATTTCCATTCTGAAAAGTGATCCAGCTATCTAAAACAGTAGCAAGTTTGAACACTATCTGTTTTTTAACAGAGGAATTCCTCAATCTTTAGCCATTTGATTTGTTATTGTCAACATGCAGTGGATTTGAATGCCCAAAAATTCTTATACCATTGCCAGTGCTTCTTTCATTCCCTTTTCCAACTTTGAACACATATTATCTGTATCTGTAACCGATATTAATAAAGTTGTTTATATCAGAATTTAAAATGAATAACTGATCAATAACTTATAAAATTTAATTTGATTTAGATACATACCAGTTGGAATATTAGAACACCCACCACAGAAGATCAATGAAAGACCACCATATTATAAAGGTAGAAATGAACTGGAGACATTATTATCAAGTGCTAACTGTGGGGACTGGGTCAAAATAAGGTAACTAAAGAAATAATATTATTTGAATGATAATGGAATAATAATGATAATGATAACCAACTCAAAATGGAAAGATTTAAATCTATTTTTTTTTAAATATAACTATGTAAGTGCTTCAACAACACAACCAATATGAGAATATTATAATAGTATCTTTATAACAACCAATATGAAAGTATTTTTATAACAACCAATATGAAAGTATTTTTATAACAACCAATATGACAGTATGACTATAACAACCAATATGACAGTATGACTATAACAACTAATATGACAGTATGACTATAACAACTAATATGACAGTATTTTTATAACAAGCAATATGAAAGTATTTTTATAACAACCAATATGACAGTATGACTATAACAACTAATATGACAGTATGACTATTACAACTAATATGACAGTATTTTTATAACAAGCAATATGAAAGTATTTTTATAACAACCAATATGACAGTATGACTATAACAACCAATATGACAGTATGACTATAACAACTAATATGACAGTATGACTATAACAAGCAATATGAAAGCATTTTTATCACCGCCAATATGAATGTATTTTTATAACAACCAATATGACAGTATGACTATAACAACTAATATGACAGTATTTTTATAACAACCAATATGAAAGCATTTTTATAACAACCAATATGAAAGTATTTTTATAACAACCAATATGAAAGTATTTTTATAACAACCAATATGAAAGTATTTTTATAACAACTTTTTATAACAACCAATATGAAAGTATTTTTATCACCACCACTATGAAAGTATTTTTATCACCACCAATATGAAAGTATTTTTATAACAACCAATATAAAAATATTTTTTATAACGACCAATATGACAGTATGACTATAACAACTAATATGACAGTATGTCTAATAAAACCAAAATGAAAGTATTTCTGTAACAACCAATATGAAAATATAATTTATAACAACCAATATGAAAGTATTTTTATAACAACCAATATGGAAATATTTTAACAACTAATATGAAAGTATGTCTAATAAAATCAAAATGAAAGTATTTCTGTAACAACCAATATGAAAATATTTTTTATAACAACCAATATGAAAGTATGACTATAACAACTAATATGACAGTATGTCTAATAAAACCAAAATGAAAGTATTTCTGTAACAACCAATATGAAAATATAATTTATAACGACCAATATGAAAGTATTTTTATAACAACCAATATGGAAGTATTTTAACAACTAATATGAAAGTATGTCTAATAAAATCAAAATGAAAGTATTTTTATAACAACCAATATGAAAATATTTTTTATAACAACCAATATGACAGTATGACTATAACAACTAATATGACAGTATGTCTAATAAAATCAAAATGAAAGTATTTCTGTAACAACCAATATGAAAATATTTTTTATAACGACCAATATGAAAGTATTTTTATAACAACCAATATGAAAGTATTTTTATAACAACCAATATGAAAAAATGTCTTTAACAACCAATATGAAAGTAATTTTATAACAACCAATATGGAAGTATTTTAACAACTAATATGAAAGTATGTCTAATAAAACCAAAATGAAAGTATTTCTTTAACGACCAATATGAAAGTATGTCATTAACGCAACCAATATTAACATATTCTGAAAGAATTTCCAATAGACAACCAATATGAAAATATTTCTATGAACAACCAATATGAAAATATTTCTATGAACAACCAATATGAAAATATTTTTATAACAACCAATATGAAATTATTCTGAAAGTTTTCAATTATTCAATACATATGAAAGTATCCAATATCAAAATATACTGAAAGTATTTAAATATGAAAGTGTTTCTATAACACAACCAATATCAAAATAGACTGACAGTATTTAAATATGAAAGTGTTTCTATAACACAACCAATATCAAAATATACTGAAAGTATTTTTATAACAACTTTAATGAGTATATTTTTATTTTCAGTGAGATGTTATTAGGTCCTGTAAAACCAGATTTTAAATTTCTACCAAAACATAAAGCTAATGCATACCAGTAACACAACTGAAGATATTAAGGCAAAGTAGTTAACTGACTATGTGCATCATCTGTATCTATTGTTAGTTTTAAAACACAGTTGATAAAACTTCTTTTGAACGGTTTGATACATGAATTGTATGTCATTTTAAAATTGATTGCAAATATGAGTGTAAATTTCTGCTAAAATAAAATTTTATATATATACAGTGTTTCTATTTATTCATATACTAAACTCAAGACAGTTAAACACAGTAATTTGAACACTCTTTTTATGCACTGCATCAGTTTTTTTTTAAATATTAGACATAATGTAATCTTTAAAGCATATTTGAAACCTGAAAAGAAAACCTTAAAAGAGTGAATATAAATGAATATGTGCCTACTTGATGATGTGCCTAAACAATGTGATGCCTAAATGAAACTTG